AAAACCATGTCAAAGACTTAAGAATATGTTGAGAGGAAAATCTCTTTTCTTTCAAATCAGTTCCAGAGATTGGGACCTGAAATTTCACTGATAATGAACAGATTTAGAATAGGAAGAACAATGTTCATTTGTGATAGTAAAGCCAAAGTGACTTCATTTTGTTTAGTAACTCCATTTTGTAAAACAACCATGCCAAACAGAAAGGTCATGACTGGGGCAAGTTGTTCTTTTCCTTTTGCTATGGAAACCCTTAAGAACACAGAACTACCTAATGGGGCTCTGTTTCTGTAACTGGGGTGACTGGGCTAATTATAATTGGCTAAGCCTCCAGCTACCTGACTGTATTCTCCCGCTTCTGTAACTTGGCTTGCTTGCATTGGCTGGACCCCCAAACATCCCTTTTGTGGTTTTCAGGCTTATAAGGAGCGCCCTTGCAATTGTTTGGAGCTGATCAGGGGAATAGCTTTATGTTCTGGTCAGTCGCCACCTGTGTGCTTCAATAAAGACTTGATTGGATTATACGTGAGTGGTCTGGAAGTCAATTTATGAAACCCCAGGACGAAGCTTTAACTATAACACATTTACAAGAAAATATGGGAGCTCCAAATTATAGAAAAAAAATCATGCAATAGCTGGAAATATAAATTTATATGTTAATTTATGTATTAATAAATGTCTGATATATATACATATACTTTTCTATATCATGAATTAAATGTGTGTGTGTGTATGTGTGTGTGTGTGTGTATATCTGTGTATGGGTATGATCTTTTATATAGCTCCAATAAAAGAGTATGTGAGAGTCTATTGGACAGTCTATCCTCTTGGCAGATGAATTCATATGGGAATCTGTTAGAGTCTGTAAACAAGTCAGGATGATATCTGGCATTTTGCCAGGGGGAGTGGTTTGTGAAGTAACACCAGCGAGCCATAAAGTGTGGAGATTCCTTATTGGTTGACTGCTGTATCTAGTTTATGTTAATTAAGATAAGCTGTGTGGAATGTATAAATATCACTCCTGTCCTACAATAAACGGCTCCCATTCCTGCTGTATCAATGTACACAAGTTATTCGTCACTCCCCGGTTATTTTGCTGCAGCCGAGCTGTGGCAGGAATCCTTTGAAGGGAGGTTAATATCAGCTCTTTTTAGGGATGTTCTTCTTTAGTCAAACATAAGTAATTCTGATTAGGTTTATTTTGCATTATCTGTTATTTAAATGTCTAGTTAGGGGAGATGGGATCTGTGATACATACCTATAATCCTAACATCTTCGAAAGCTGAGGCAGGAGGATTGCAAATTTGAGAGCAACCTAGAAAACTTAGTTAGACTCTATTTCAAAATAATAAGTGCTGGAGATGTAGCTCAGTGGTAGACAGCCCCTGAGTTTAATCCCCTGTACTGAAAAATAAATAAATATATAAATATGTGTAAGGAAAATCTAATAACCCCAAAAGGTTCATAGTTGGAATGGATCCTTTTACAAAAGACAGAGTAAAAAGAAAAGAAAGAAAAAGGAGTTTAAAAAATATGGAACCAACCACCTCAAGGTGCCCTTCAGTAGATGAATGGATAAAGAAAAGGTGGTATATATATACCTCTAGTTTAATATAAGGGATATGCTCTAATATCACCAGAATATAATGCTGTCTTCGGTGACTAACCTTTTCTTCTCCCTGATCGGGGAAGGAAAGGATACCTTTTGTCTTTGAGAATTGGCATCTTGCTTTTAGGATATAGATGTATATATAAAGCTGAAGGCTTTACACTTTTTCATAACTTGGAGGCACATTCTAGTATGCTAACAAATGCTTTGTTTAAAAATAATATTTATTAACCCTGGGATTCAAGAGGGTCCCCAAAAATGTTAGAAGAAAATCCCATTAAAAATATTCATGTTGGGGCTGGGACTGTGGCTCAGTGGTAGCACATTGCTTGGCATGTGTGAGCCCATGGGTTCGATTCCCAGCACCGCATATAAATAGATAAAATAAAAGTCTGTTATTAACTAAAAAAAATTAAAAATATTCATGTTATTACCTTTC